AATCCATATTTAACTTTTATAAAAATACATTTCTGCAAAAAGCATTTTTCTGCATAATACAAACAACATGTTTTATTGTATTTCTTACAAAATAGATTCCAATATCTATTGAAGAAAGAAAAGCAGTAAAGTAATTATCTATAAACTGTATGCTATAAGAAAAACACTGATAGTGGTCTTCATTAACTAACTTTTAAAGAAATACAATACTCAAACCTTTGTGTATTTGTTTGTTGGCACTTTTCACAAAACAAAACCTAAGAAAATTTACATGCTGTATAACACTTAAGATAAACCTAACATATGCTCTCCGATATGTGGTATGCAATAATAAGCAGATTAGACAAATATAAAGTGAAAATTATCTTTTGGATTTAAAATATAATGTTTGTTGTGATTTCGAAAAATATGTTTTTCTTACTAGACTTTCTTAGACTTAAAATGCTAAATAGAATATGGTTAAGCTGCGATATACTGTTTAGGATACAAAAGTAAAGCCTAAAATACAAAATCATACATATAAAATTTACTTCTGAAATGTCTATTTTTAACAAAAAAAAGTCATGGTCTTAACAGACACCAGATTTACTAAAAAGTTAACGAAATTTGCCTTTAAGAAGCATGGCTTTTAACAGAGCATGAGGTTTTCACACACAAACTAAATGTAAATAAAAAAATAAATAAATATACACACAAAGTTTTTTATATCACAGAAAATTCAGGCCAGTAAAAACGCTCTGAAATCTTGTAGAAAGTGTGTGTTTTTCCAAGGTGACCAGAAATGGGTTCATTATGACAAGAACTAATAATTTGCTTACTCTGCTCTTTGCTAAAAAATATATCTACCCATAAACCCTTCTTAGTCATGTATTTTAATTTGATACCTTTCTAAACCTTTCTAAACCTAAAAAAACTTAGAATAGTAGTTTTAAGTCCAGTTTGTTTGCATAAAGCAAATATATAAATTTGCAAATGGACCTTTTTGTGAAAATAGATTTTTAACAAAAACTATAAAAATACAACTTCTAATGTATTTTAATAAAATGAGTATTAGAAAAAAAAGCACATTAAAAATTTATTTCTTAAAAAAATATTTAATTCATTTAATTGTTAAACTAGCATTAATACATTTAAAAAGTATATACACAATAAAATAAGAATTCCTGTTTTTTTTTCTTTTTTTAGAATTAGCAATGCAATTGTTGGAAAAAAAAACCTTTATTTATGTAATTACCAACATCAAGAAACTCTAATTCTCCTTTTTCATCATTTCCTTCGTCTATTTTATTTTAAGAAACTTAAGAAATTTTAAAATATATCGTAATGTTCTATTTTTTTTTGCTTTACTTTACTTAAAGATGACTCAAGTGACAAAGTTAGCAATAGTTTTACTTTTTATTTTATGCTTAAAATGATGTCAAAAACTTTCAACATCTTCATTATATGGTAATAATTATTTAATATAATTACATATAATAATTATATATAACTTTTAATGAGTTGTTTATATGGTTATATTATTAATATTGCCATATAATTAACTTACATAATATTGATTATGCATAAAAATAATGAAAATAAAATAACTAACAGTAACATTTTTGTAATAATAAGATAATTTTGTAATAATGACAAATCAGTATTAGTTTTTAAACAACAATTTAATATTTTTGGCACCAAATGACTCGTAAAAAGAGTCGATATTTTTAAGGGTATCAAGAAATACATGAAAGCAAAGTAATAATAAATTAAAATAATCTTCTTCATGACTCCATATCCCCACTACACAACTACATATACAGCATTAGTATTTTTGTTTTATAGGTAATTATTGATTTGCGTGGTTTAAAATAAATAGTACAAAAGCGTTACTATAGAAGTATTATACTCTATTTCTTATAGCACTCAGTTGAAAGTAGTTTAAAGCTAAAACAGAGGTAACAACTTGTTATATTTATATTTTTATTTATTAAAAGCTATTAATGCTATTACGACAATGCAATAAAATAATAGCACAAAATAAGATATTACCTAATAGTTGAATCTTGTTCTGTAATTTTAACTGTTAATAAAACTATTTCTACCTTAATTTAGTAAAATTCGTTTTTATCCGAACTGTTGGCTTAATGATCAATAAGTTAAACTTAACTTCATGAAAGTTTTCTATTTTAAAACCATATTTAAATAGTTGGCAAACTAAAATAAAATAATAACAAAATAATAACAAAATAAAATAATAACAAAAAGAACGAGTGAAATAAATAAAAAATAATGGATTTAATTTTTTAATAACTAAATAACTAATATATATATATATATATATATATATATATATATATATATATATATATATATATATATATATATATATATATATATATATATATATATATGTTAAGTAGCTATGAGAAAAATTAAATTATTACAAATATATCATAAATAACAATGAAATGTTAAAAATGTTTACCGAAAGCATTGAATTATTGATGGATGAAAATAAATTCATTTTCATACAAGACACTTGGCTGAATAAAACTAAAAAAAGCTAAAGATGTACAATTAATGTATAAAAGATTGTTATAGTTGTAATGATGTAATGTTTCTTTTAAAGTTTGTAGCACTGAAATCTGAAAAATATATAAAAAACAATGTATATTAATATATAAAACTGAACAAATAATTAAATAATTAGCAAAAAAAAATTCATAATAGACCCCTTTTCGTTGTTTTGATTTTTCGAAACAAATGCGCATGCGCGCGTCTTTGGCAGTCAAAACAAATCGATTTTAAAGCTAAACAGTAAATATTAATTAGCGTCTTTTAGTTAGGAGTTAAAGGTTTAATTTATACAAAGTTTTTTTAATAATCATTTATATTTATAAAATAATATGCCTGACGTGTGTTGTGCCTATGGATGTTCAAATAGAAGAACATTAGCTAATGCTCATTTGAGCTTTTATCGAATACCAACTAATAAATCTGAATCTGGTGCTAACAGAAGAGACAAATGGGTTGCAGCAATTAAAAGAGAAAAATGGAACGTAAAACAAATAAATAATGCTCGTTTGTGTAGTGCTCATTTTACTACAGGTAAGATTTTTAGTTTTCCATTCAGTTTTTTTGTGTTCTAATAGTTTTCATGTATTTGTTATACTTAAATTAAAATAATAAAAAATAAACTCTTAAAACTTTAAGTATTCTTACTTATGTATTAAATGATAATCATCTTTTTTTAGGGAAAAAATCTGATGATCCCTGTCATATTGATTATGTTCCAACTGTATTTTCTTTTAAAAAGACACATGGAAAACAAATCAAATCTTCTTTAGAACGATATGAGCGATCAAAAAAAAGGCAGCGAACTCTTTCTAGTAATGAGTCTATATTATGACCGATTCACGAGGTTGGATCATTTAACGAGACAAAAATTAATGAGTTGGTTGAAGGGGACTGTTTAAATTGTCCTTCAGAAAACGAGATAACCCAAAGAGCTGTTGAAATAGGTAAAAAAAAGAACAAAAAATTTGTAAATTAAATTTATCTTAATTGGTGTCACTGATATATAACTTATGTGTTGATTAACTTTTAAACTAATTGTTTAAAAAAAAAAATTTTTTTTGAAGAATTTATTAGTAGTATTATTTGCATATTAGTATAAAATATTATTAGTATTGTAAAATATAAGCATAAAGTATTATTTGCATAATTTTAATTTTAGGCACACAAACTGAAGTATTTGTAACAAAAGAAAAACAACTAAAACGAACTTTGAGAAAAAAGATATTTGAAATACAAAAATTGAAGCAAAAGTTACAAATATGTCAAAAACAATTAAAGTTTACAAAGGAGAAGATAATTGATTATATTAATATTAAAGAAAAAGCATTAAACTTTTTAACTGGAATTACCAAACCAGCTTTGTTTGAATGGATTTTTCAAGAAGTTAAATCTTGTGTCAAACCTATTGTTAAAACAATGTCCTTAGAAAACCATTTATTAATTGTATTAATGAAGTTAAGACTTGGACATAAAAATAAAGATTTAGCTTTGAGATTTAACATTAGTGAAGGAGTCATATCAAAAATATTTTGCTTATGGATAAAACAATTAGCCAATGTATTGTGCAATTTAATTGTGTGGCCTGAACGAGCTGCTATAAGAGCAAACTTGCCATGTTGTTTTACAAACTTTAAAAATTGTGTATGTATAATAGACTGCACTGAAATATTTATAGAAAGGCCACATAACTTAACAGCTAGGGCTCAAACCTACTCTACCTATAAATCACGTAAAACCATTAAATACTTAATTGGAATAACACCAGCTGGTGCTGTAAGTTTTTTATCATCTGGATGGGGTGGTCGAGCATCAGACAAACTGATCACAATTGAGTCAGGTTTTTTAGATAAAGTTTGTTACGGAGATTGTATTTTAGCTGATAGAGGATTTTTAGAGGAAGAAGAATTAGCAACAAGAGGAGCTGTTTTAATAATACCAGCATTTACAAAAAGTAAAAGTCAAATGGCTGTAAAAGACATTGATTTATCACGTCAAATTGCTCGTGTGAGAATCCATATAGAAAGAGTTATTGGGCGTTTAAAAAAATACCAACTATTAACATCAACTATACCTGTAAGCCAGGTTGATTTACTTGATAGTATAATGATTTCAGTAGCTGGACTTATAAATTTAAATAAAAGTGTAGTACAGAAATAAAAAATGTCTAATAATAAATTTTTATTTTCAAACTAAATAGTACAAAATATTATTTTAAACAATTTGGACAAATCCAAATTCCTTTAGGAGCACGAGTTACATTAACACATGAGTAGTGAAACCATTCAATTTCACAACTAGGTTTATTACATGCAATCATTGGTTTAAAGCATGGGCGTTTACAAATGCAATAGTTTTTCTGCTTGTTGCTATAATAAATATCATTTTCTCTTGTTACAGTTTCTGGTAAAATGTATGTAAAATAATATTTGTGTAATGCCTGCTTTATCTCATTAATAAATTTTTCATCTCGATAAACTTTAACTAGTAGGTAATTTCCTTCACTTTCTAAGGGTGTCCAAATAAAAAAGTCACAAAATTCTACATCTAAAATCATCATTTGTCCTTGTATTTGGGTATAATACTTATGGCTTGTTTTTAAATCGCCATTTTCACATACAGGAAAATCTTTATCCTCTTTCCAACCATTTAAACCTTCACGATATTTGTAGGGACACTTGATTTCGACTAAACCTTTATTGTGGCATGTACATTGAATAATTCCATCTGGCGATGCTCCTAAATATGGATAACTAGCTTGGATATGAATACCAGTTGTTTCTAATTTGAAATTGTTGTGATTTTTTTTTTAATAATTTAATATAAAAACAACGTGCTTTGTCCTCCATTTCTCTTCCATAATTAACACTTGCTACATTTGGTGAAATTACATAGTTCATTATTTTGAATAACAAAGGTTTTGAAATTTGTAATTTTTTATTTATAACTTCATGGAAATTGGATGCTGTAGTTCTACCAGCTCGATGTAATTTCCATGTATTCGACAGGTTTTGAGTTTTACTCACTTCTGCCAATAAGTTAAAGTTGCATTGAGAATAACTGTTTCTGTATTCATTAAATTTGGATAAGCAAAATTCTTCAAGCAAAGATTTGTCAAGATTGTTTGCATCATTGTCAAACAAAGAAGTAATTGGCTCTGGTAAAAAATTTGTATCGTTTTCATCAGCAGTTGCAGTATTGTCACTAAAACTATGATCAAATATTGTAGTTGGTGCTAGACCAACTACACTTGTAAAAAAAGCTGCTTCTGGGGCAATTGCCCTGAGTTTATGTAAACTATTATTGCTAAACTTAACAACATTTTCAGAAAATGAGTAATTTCTTTTAGGATTTTTGATATTTTGTGTTGAAAAAGGTAGTTGATTTTTCATTGGTCGCTTAAAATTAATGTTTTGTAGCATTGATGGTTCTGCTTTTTTTCTAGATCTGTTCCACACACAAAGTTTGCTAGTAACTGCAACTTTATTTGCCTGAATTCTAACACATGCTTCTAGTTTAAATAGAAGAGCTGCTACATGGCTGCATACAGATCCAAGACTAAAAAATTAATATAGGTTATTTAGCATATGTTAAAAATGAAAAGTTATGTTATAAATAGTTTTTTAAAAATAATTTATTACCCTGCCATGCATGTGCAATTTCCAGTAAGTATCCATCCGTCAACTTTGTTAAGGGCAACCCATACATCATAAAGTTTAGTTTTTTGGCCCTGCCTTTGACTCGGAAGTACCTGTTTAAAAGAGACATTATTTTATTGCTAGCAAATAAAAAATAACTTTTAAAATTAAAAAGTACATAAAATATATATACTTTCATTGTATGTATATATGTATGTATTTATGTATGAATCTCCCACTCTCTCTACATATATATATATATATATATATATATATATATATATATATATATATATATATATATATATATATATATATATCTATATCATATATATATATATATATATATATATATATATATATATATATATATATATATATATATATATATATATATATATATATATATATATATATATATATATATATATAATGTATACATAAATATATATATATATTATATATATATACATATATATATATATATATATATATATTGTATATTATATATATATATATTATATATTATATATATATATATATATATATATATATATATATATAATATACATATATATATTATATATATATATATATATATAATATATAATGTATATATATATATATATATATAGAGAGAGAGAGAGAGAGAGAGAGAGATAGATAGAAAGAGAGAGAGGGAGATACATAAATAACATTCTTACACAAACACATACATATATACATCCAATGAAAGTATATATATATATATATATATATATATATATATATATATATATATATATATATATATATATATACAATAAAAATAGAAAAATTAAATATATTGTTTTCATTGAAACATTTATTTTCCCTACCTTCGATTTTACAAAACAAAACTGAACATCTTCTTTAACAATATTACAATAAACATCTTGAACATGCCCACAAACAAAAAAATTATATGCTTCAAGAGACTTATAGGCCTTCATATTCTCATTTGTGTATTGGCTCGGAGTATTTATGAGATATGTGTATATATCTCCCCACTGAATATCTGGCAAAAGTGATACATCATCTTTCCAAGAGGCTTCCACCAATGTGTATGGATCTGGTAGCGTGCTTCTGTCACTTAAAGTAAGCTTTTTTTTATACTTAAACTTTTCGGTTTCATCTAATGTTTCAAAATAACTTGATTCTTTCCAACTTTCCATATTTTAGATGTATAGAAGATAAAAAAATACCAAATGTTTACTATTTCTTAATTCAATTAAAACGCTAAAATTGTTTGTTTTGACTGCCAAAGACTTGCGCATGCGCACGTGTTTCGCAAAATCAAAACAACGAAAAGGGGTCTATATGCAGTTCTAAAACATAACAATGTATGAATTTTAAACTTACTTGTTTTCCCAATGATTTCGTCATCAATAATAAAATTACTTGTCTCAAATAAATTTTCTTGTTTTGTCTTTATTATAGTCTTGGGCTAATGAGAAAGTCTAAACAATTAAAAATTGATAACAAACTTTTCAAGATTTTTTATAACAATAACTCATTATTAAAAAATATATTACAAATCTCTAGTCGTAAAGACAAAAATGCCTATTTAATAAAGGGATAAAAGATAATAATTGCCTACAATATGAAAATTAGTTAGTCCAAAATTAATTGCTTATTATAAATCAATCTTATAGAAAAATAAATTGGATAATACAACAGATTTTGTTAAAGTAAATAATAGTGTATATATATATATATATATATATATATATATATATATATATATATATATGTTTATTTCTATATAAATATTTAATTCGATATATATAAATATAAATATATATATAGAATTAAGTATTTTTATAAAATTAAATATATATATATATATATATATATATGTATATATATATATATATATATATATATATATATATATATATATATATATATATATGTTTAATTCTATATAAAAAGTCAATTCTATATACATATAAATATATATATATATGTATTTTTATATACATATATATAATTCTACGTATGCATATATGTAAATATGTATATAACTTAATTTTGATGAAAAAAAATATTTAAGATGTTTATTCGTTCAATAAATGCTATTCATACTTTTATGTAACATTGCAACAATCTATTAACAAAATTTATAAAATTAAATGTATAAAATGTTTTTCTTGTGTATCATATTAACATTTTTGACTCAACTCAACAGAATGCAGCAAAGAGAAACAATAAATCCATGTTTAACTTTTATGAAAATACATTTCCGCAAAAAGCAGTTTTTCTGCATAATACAAACAACATGTTTTATTGTATTTCTGACAAATTAGATTCCAATATCTATTGAAGAAAGAAAAGCAGTAAAGTATCTTTAAACTGTATGCTATCAGAATCTATAAACTGTATGCTATCATTATCTATAAACTGTATGCTATCAGAAAAACACTGATAGTGGTCTTCATTAACTAGTTCATTATGACAAGGACTTTGTGTATTTGTTTCTTGGCACTTTTCACAAAACAAAACCTAAGAAAGTTTACACGCTGCATAACACTTAAGATAAACCTAACATATGCTCTCCGATATGTGGTATGCAATAATTTGTATAACTAACAGTAACATTTTTGTAATAATAAGATAATTTTGTAATTATGACAAATCAGTATTAGTTTTTAAACTACAATTTAATATTTTTTGGCACCAAATGACTCGTAAAAAGAGTCGATATTTTTAAGGGTATCAAGAAATAGTGTAAAGGAAGGTATGTTCGTGATAAGTTAACTAGATATGTAATTACAAAGTCAATTTCAGTAATTTTACTTAATTACTTTAATTGTTTGATGTACATAGAGTAAAGTTACTAGAATCTATGCAGTTTTGGGATTTTAAGTCCTTTGATAAGTTTTTATAAAAGCTCAAAAGTCATTGAGAAAAGTTAGGTAATTTTGTGATATGATGTTTAATTTCGTGATAGTGGTTAGGTAATTTCGTGAGTACACAATAAATTGAAATTTTTCTTTATTAATTAAGTATAACATCTGGTATAATATAACAAAAATTATCAACACTTGTTTTGAATTCATAACTATTCAATCAGACTTTAAGTTCATAAAATATAAATATAGTCAGGCTTATAAGTTAACAAAATTATAATAATACTTTCATTACTTTATATTTATATATAAAAAAAATATATTTTTAACATAGGTAGCTTAGAAAATAAAATAACAGACCTACAAAAAACTCTTAATATATTAACTATAATATTAACCATACTTATATCTGATTAACTTATTTTTCTAAATCACATTCTTGTTGACAACATGTATTACACATAAATACTTCACCAATGTCCTCATATGTTTGACAACTCTCATGATAAGGTACTAAACAATAGGAACACTGCACCCATTTTTTTCCATTTATTTTTTTTACATCACTGTTGTAACTTTTTTTACAAACACCGCACTCCCAATTATCATCTTTTGAAGCATTTTTATTTTTTTTACTTATTTTAGAACATACAGAAATAGAATCCTTTGAAGTTGATGGAATAGGTTGATCAGGAGGAGTCAGATACTTTGCACTTGAATCCCTTTTTGGCCTATTAGGTTTAGGTGTGGTTGGCTCTACAGATGGAATAGTTAACAATGTTTGTATAGCAGTATTACTGTGTGGTTGAATTTCTGTACTTTGAATCTCTCTGTTTGTCAATTAAGATGGAGCTATTGCTTCTGGAGGAATGGCATTTTTATTTAAAGGGCAAATGCCACTTTTTTTAAATGCATTTTCTATATTTTTTTTAGAAAAGCTTTTAATAAATGCTGGATTCAATATTGTATGAAAAGTTGTCCGATTTGGTTTTTCTCCAGGATTTTCCCTCATAAAGTCATTTAAGCTAGTGGCCCAGTTTGACTTAAGTGGCTTGTATATTCCTACATCTAGTGGTTGTAATAAATGACTAGTATGAGCTGGAAATGTAAATAAATATATTTCATTTTCTTTTGCAAGTAATATAACATCCATGTTAATGTGTGATACATGTGAATTCATGAATAATATCACAGGTCGTTCACTTGGAATAGAATCAATAAAAAATTTAAACCATTCCAAAAATAAGTCACTATTAATCCATCCTTTTGGAGATAATTTTACCAAACAGTTTGGTAAACAATCAGCTTTAAGATTATCGTTCCATCTAACGCCTTTGAATATAATTAAAGGTGGAATCCATGATCCATTGGCACATACACATCCTAAAAGTGTATGCGTTTCTCCACGATCAGCATAAGTTCTTTTATAAACATAACGTTTACCAATAGCAGTGACTACTTTATTAGGCTTTACTACATAAGATAGTCCAGTTTCATCATAATTCCAAAGGCGCCAGGCATATCTTTAATACCTAATTGGATCATTAATGAATCAAGTTTTGAATAAAAATCACTGATCATATGACTGTTAGCCATTGATGCCCTATAAGCAGCAAGATTTTCAGGAACTCTAAGTGTAAGATTATACCTCTTTTTGAAATTCACCCACCACCACTTGCTAGCAGATTCATTATCTTCATTGAAATAAGATCCACGTCCAGCTGTAGTGACTATTTTGTGAGCTATTTTTCTTACCTGTAACACAGTCAAACCAAAGCCAAGTTCTTGCATCTTTATGATATAGTTTAATATTTGTATTTCAAGGTCTGATGTAAGTTCATATGGTCTTCCCATTTTTGGAACTAATTCAACATTATCACGTTTCAAAAAATCTTTAAGTGAACTCCATGGAACTCCATTGATTTTTGCTGCTTTGTAAATAGACATTTTTTGTTCATTGACCATTTTAGCTGCAGCTACCAATTCAAAATTGGCATATTTTCTGTATGAACCTTTTTTTGACATTATACTTTAAGATCTAAATACCACAAAATATTTTAATAAAATTAATAAAGTATATAATATTTGCAGATTCGTATAGAGAAAGATATTATCTTCATTTAACTATATAGTTATATCGTGCTTAAAACAATTTTTAATGTCATTATATTTAATAAAAGAAACATGATTAAAAATGTAAATTCATTTGAGGTAAAAACGTTAAGAAAATGTTTAACTGCGATAAGGAATCATAAGTTATAGGAAGTTAATAAAAAAACAAAGGTTTTACCATTAAATCAAGCATGTTTTCTAGTTTAGTATTTAATAAAAATAAATTACTTACCTTAAAACACAAGTCTGGAAATAAAAATGTTGGATAAGTACTCCAAACAAATGTGCTGAACGCACGTAAAATAATGCTAAAGAATGTACAAATGATAGTAAACAATTGACGTATCACACGCACCCAACAACTATTCGTGAATCGACAGTAGTACCCCGGGTACCATTTGACGCAATTTCGATGTTTTTGACTAATAGGTATGTTCGCTACAAATGCCGAAAAAAATATCACGAAATTACATATATCACGAACATACCTTCCTTTACCCTACATGAAAGCATAGTAATAATAAATTAAAATTATCTTCTTAATGACACCATATCCCCACTACACAACTACATATACAGCATTAGTATTTTTGTTTTAAAGGTAATTATTGATTTGCATGGTTTAAAATAAATAGTACAAAAGCGTTACTATAGAAGAATTATACTCTATTTCTTATAGCACTCAGTTGAAAGTAGTTTAAAGCTAAAACAGAGGTAACAACTTGTTATATTTATTTTTATTTAACAAAAGCTATTATTGCTATTAAGACAATGCAATAAAATAATAGCACAAAATAAGATATTACCTAATAGTTGAATCTTGTTCTGTAATTTTAACTGTTAATAAAACTATTTCTACCTTAATTCAGTTAAATTCGTTTTTATCCAAACTGTTGGCTTAATGATCAATAAGTTAAACTTAACAACTTGTTATGTTTATATTTTTATTTAACAAAAGCTATTATTGCTATTAAGACAATGCAATAAAATAGTAGCACAAAATAAGATTTTACCTAATAGTTGAATCTTGTTCTGTAATTTTAACTGTTAATAAAACTATTTCTACCTTAATTCAGTTAAATTCGTTTTTATCCAAACTGTTGGCTTAATGATCAATAAGTTAAACTTAACAACTTGTTATGTTTATATTTTTATTTAACAAAAGCTATTATTGCTATTAAGACAATGCAATAAAATAATAGCACAAAATAAGATATTACCTAATAGTTGAATCTTGTTCTGTAATTTTAACTGTTAATAAAACTATTTCTACCTTAATTCAGTTAAATTCGTTTTTATCCTAACTGTTGGCTTAATGATCAAT